CCTGAACTGCATAGCGAGACCCTGTCTCAAACAGACAAAAAAAATAAACAATAAAAATAAAGCAGAGTTTAAATGGATTTGTTCTAAGCCCACCAAACTTCCTAACAATTTGGCTTCCCCTAAACTAGGAAAAAACTAGGAGTGGTGATGCACATCTGTAACCCCAGCACTCTAAGAGGCTGAGGCAGGAGGACTGAAGGTTTGAGTCTAGCTTAGGTAACTTAGTGACTTAGTGAGAGGCCCTGTTTCAAATTTAAAAAATAAAAAATTTAAGGGCAAATATATTTATTGGGGGAAAGAAAGCTTCTGCTGAGAGAGAGACAGAAGGGGACTCAAGTATGTTGCCAAAGACCCTGCCTTTTCTAGGAATTGGAGCAAAACCACAGGTAAGGCAGGTCCAAGGTGGGGAACATGGGAACTCACAAGGTGGGAATGAGGTAGGACCACACTATGGCCAACCAATAAGACTATGAGCATAATTGCTCAGGTAAATAAATGTGGATCAAATGGGGAAGCAAGTCACAAAGCAAGTGGGCATGAAGCAGATCAGGGGCTTTTCCTGGAAGGGGTGGGTCAGAGTCTCTTCCTAGCTTTCCCAAGGTGATCGATACCTTCAAATAAAAAAAATTTTAAAGGGCCGGGGAGATAGCTCAGTGTGAAGGTCCTGGCTTCAATCTCCAGCACCACAAAAGCAAACAAGCAAGCAAAACAAAACAAACCCTCTTCCATCAAGCCATAGGATGGAACTCAGGGCATTTGCTGTGTACAAATGCCCTTCCAGCTTCTAGCTATTGAGTTTGTTTAACAATAAGCCCAGAGACTGAGTCTGCAAAATAACTAAATTCACCACCAGTGAAGTCATAAGCTCACCTAGTCTCAGAAAAGGGTGGAACCCTCCCTGAGTGAGAGGTTGGTACCTGGGAATACTCAGAGGACATATGCACACAAGCACAGCCTCCTTTACCACAGAAGTCGGAGCTCTGTCTTGCAGGGCAAAGCAAAGCTCCTCCCTCCTGCCTCACACTACACTACCCTCCTGCCAGTAACCAGAGTCCACACTGGTGAAGGAAGCGTTACTACCAGGAGAAAATGCATAAACTAGTGAATACGTATTGTCAACAAACATCCAGCTGCCATTTATGGAAACTTACTGAAGGCTGTTTTGACCAAGATGAGAGCAGAACCTCTACATTCAGTGCAGAAGTTCACAGTGAGATACAGTCCTTACCACTTTAGGATAACACAAATCGACCAAACCTTGGCCTATGCTAGGTTATATTAAAAGATATAGGGGTTGGGGATTTAGCTCAGCGGCAAAAGCGCCTGCCTGGCAAGCGCAAGGTCGTGAGTTCAGTTCCCGGTACCGGAGAAAAAACCTAAAAACCTAAAAACGATATAATTGTCCCTGTGAACAGCACCAGATTCAAATGAAGGACTGAAAATAGCAAATTTCTGATTGGTCCTGTGTAGAGTGATGATGATGTCACCGTGTTCAGAGTGTCCCTCGCCGTGTTGCCCTGTCTCAACAGGACCCGGCAAGTGGCCCCCTCCTAACCATGGTAGATAATTGCTCGGCTGGGTTTTTCTCTGGGCCTGGGATTCTGGAGGAAAAGGCTGCTATGGAGAGAAGGCCCCTGACCCTGCAGCAGAGATGGGCCGAGGGTCCAAAGCTGGGAAGTCGTGGTAATGGAATGGCATAGAAACCAGCCCTCAAGCTGTGCTCAATTGGTTGCTGGGTCCCAGGAATGAAAAAGGGACAGACAGTCCCTAAAGCATTACCTAGTAATTCCTGCAACTAAACACTTCTGGTTTAGTTAGACAGACAATTCTGTCTCAGACTGTCAAAGTCAGGTCAAGATCTCCTGCTTGATTCCCAGAACTTAACTGGAGAGAAAGTCAAATACTCAAATATCCCTTTGAAGGAAAACTTTAACACTGGGATGGATGCATCTTGGGAGCCTTCCTCACAGTCTCCCCAAAGGGACCCACCTCCTGCTACCCAACGTCTACTGAGGGGGTGGGGCCCAGCAGTTCCCCTAAATGCCTCGGCCCATCTGTGAGTGAGGGGACAGAGGACTCAGGTGAAAACTTAAACACTTGCCCCTCAATGAAAGTCTGGGGGCTGAGGGGGCTGTTGAGACCCAAATGTTTCCTTGCTAATGTGGGCCAGACTCCTTACCACCAGGCCAGTTACAGACTGACCCAGAAGGCTGCCAGGCCCGGGCTTTCACCAGGCCATGTGACCCACCAGATCGGGGGTATTGAGGTGACATATCAGTGAGTTGTATGGAGCCTGTGATGGCTCATGAAAGTCCTGATAAGAAAAATATGGTGGGGAAAGCTGGTGGTAAAGTGACAGTCTTGCCAAAGAGTAACTATTGTTCCTTTGAGAACACACACACACACACACACACACACTCGTCACCAGGCTCTGGGGGAGCCTGAGTGCCTAGCTAAGGTGTACTAGGTGCTCCCACCACCCCTTGTGGCGGTATCTGATCTATTAGCCACAGCCTAGCATCATCAGGTGGACGCGGTGGCCCCAGGCAGGGCACTGAGGGCACAAGTAGTATGAGTGCGTTGCTTGGCCTCCCATGTGCCTCGTCCAGCCATGCCACCAGCTTCCCTCAGTCTATACCACCAGATCTAAGTGGGGCCAGTAGTTTGTGTTGACCCTTTTGGTCCCCATTCTGGGTTTGATTGGTTCTCCTGGCCCATCAGCCTGTCCCACCGTGGTCATCTAGTGAATCATTAAATGCCTCAGACACAACCATGGTGTCTGCCAGCACATGCTGCATTCAACCAGGATGGTGCGGAGGGCATTCCTGTAGGGTGCCCCCTGAGTGGGATGGTGGATGGTGTGTTGGAAGTTTGTCTGTGGCACCAGAAACACCAGCTCGAGAGGCTGGCCAGGAAGAAGGATGGCGCTGTTGTTCCTGCATTGCTAGAAGCAGTGTGGAGACGGATAGGCTGTCAGGGTGTCTCACCGCTTTTCTCTACCTGTTGGCCCAGTGGGTGTGGCAGTTTGGTCCCCAAGAAAGAAACACAACCTCAAAGACAGAGCAATGAGGCAAACGAATCTGAAGACAGGGAAGCCACCTGGCTACCTCACGCTCCGCTGAGTGATAGATGACAAAGGTATGGACACAGCTAGGATGATGAATCCTGTCCAGGGAAAATATCATGATTGTTACCACATGAAAAGGGGCAGGAGAGAGGACAGGGGATCCTGAGGGCTTCCCAGTGCTGTCACTTCAGATAGTAAATGTCGGGCTCACAGGCAGGACCACTAGGGCCTGGGCCTCAGAACTGAACTCCAGCAGGCCTAAAGCCCTAATCAGAACTAGCAGCTCCTATGTCCAGCTGTAGGAATGGATGGTAGCTTCCACCTGGACTTCCTTTCTTGCTGGGTTACATAATTTTGATTGAATTTTAACCAGTTAATCCACAGGTTGCAGAATTTCAGAATAATTGAAAGTGCTTATGATTCAACTTTAGGATTATGATAAAACTATTGGAGGAAGGTTATGGCTGGCGACTCTGGACTTTGGAGAACAGTATCCTTGCCATTCTCTCTAGGTTTATTAGCTGTGTAGGACCTTGAATACCCTAGGTAGACAGGAATTTGATTTAGGTTGTATGTGGGAGAGTTGTGATAGGGAAGAACTCAGATGGGAAGAACTCTGTGTGTGTGTGTGTGTGTGTGTGTGTGTGTGTGTGTGTGTGTGCGTGTGTGTATGCGTGCATGTGTGTGTGTGTTATCTTTTGTTTTGCCCACCAAACCCCCTCTACCCCTTGACTGTCCACCATGTTTCTAGTAAGAATCCCCACCATTTGGAAACTGTCCCTTTGCCCTGAGCTCCAGGTTAGCTTCTCTTACTTAGAATTTGAATCTTTCATGGAGGGCACCCCCGGTGACCAAGGTAAGGGCTCCTGAGAGCTTGAGGGGGCAAGACCTAGAGGTACCCAGGCTCCTGCCCTCCCCAAAGTTAATTGTTCAGCTTTTTTTTTTTCAATACTAGGGATTGAACCCAGGGCCTTTACACTGAACTACAATCTCCAGCCCTTTTTTATTTTTTATTGTGATACAAGATCCTACTAAGTCATTAAGTTGCCAAGGCTGGACTTAAAGTTTTGATCCTCCTGCCTTAGCCTCCCAGGTGCTGGAATTACAGGTGTGCACCACCACACCTGGCTTGTTCAGCTGTTCCTTTGGTTCTGTGGGTTATCCCAATATCCGTCCATGAACCCTTTTGCCTGCTTAAGTTGGTCCAAGTTCATTTCCGGTGCTTCAAACCGGAGCGCCCCGAGGACAGGCAGTCTCTCCTGGGGCCGTCCACACACCTTTGCCTCCCACATCTGCCAGCCCAGGGGCTGGCGTTCAGTAGGTGCTCGGTGCACATCTGCTGAATGAGTAAGTAGGCGAGCAGTATTCCAGCTCTCCTTCCACCCGTGTTATCTGGACATGCAGGCTGGGAGAACAGGGGCGCCCTGGGACAAAGGACAAAGTGACGAGTCCCTGAACAGAGAGGAGGTGGAGATGGAAGGGAATGATGGCCTTGGGTGGGAGTGGGAGGAGAAGCAGGATGGGCTCCAGGAGGGATGAGGGCCAGGTGTGCTTGTCCCCGGCCAGTGGTGCTGCGGTGGAGGCACCCAGGAACATGGGGAGCCTCTGCGGAGGCCCCAGCTCTGCTCTTCTTTTCTGGGTCCTTCTTTTTTTTTTTTTTCTTTTTTTTCTGGGTCCTTCTTTTGTGTTCCTCTTCCCAACAGAGGGGAATTCCCAAGGCACAAAACCCAGACACCCTGCCAAGGCGCACGCCATCGGCTCGGTTGTGCAAATCGCACAAACCGTCTTACCTGTGGCCTCAGAACTGCAGGCCAGGAGTCAAAATATGGACTCATTGTTCGAGGGGGTATGGGGACTACGGGACACCCTCACTGAGCCAGGCTGGGAAGAGGGGACCCGGCTCTATCACCACACCAGAGAAGGGCAAGCGGGACACACGGTCACTGCTTTTATTGCATTCCAAGGGGAGCAAGCTAACTCCAGACTGTCCACAGCAGGTCTCAGGGAGGGATATCCAGGAAGGACCCAGGGCACCAGCTGATGCACAGAAAATCCTCAGGAGCCCATCTGGGGGAGCCCAGTACTGGTGCCCAAGATCAGGACTGAATGGTTGGAGGCAGGGGTCCCCCTTCCCACGCTCAAAACTGACTGGGTTGAGTCCTTCCTAGGACCCCCACAAGGGAGAGTCCCAGCCCTCCATCCCTCTGTGAGGAGGCCGTGAAATTCAGCATGACCCCCTCTTTCCAGGATGGAGCACAAGGTCCCTCAAAGTCAATGCCCTCCCTCTAACAATGTCGTGCCAGCTGGAGCTCAAGAGCAGAAAGCCGGGGACAGGCAGGGACGAGAGCCGGGGGAGTAAGGCAGAGGCACTGGTGGGCACTGTGCAGGCCAGGGCCAGGCAAGCCCAGGCACAGGGACAAGCAGAGTGGGAAGGGCAGACTGCGGGGACTCAAAGCAGCAGAGCAAGGGCCGGAGTGACAGTGATGGACAGGCCTGCAGGAACACGCATCATCAGAGACCCATGCCCAGGGACACGACAGGCTCCGGAAGGGCCCTGCACCCCACCTCGGCTCGAGGACAGGTTAGGCGCAGGATAGCTGGGATGGATGTGGCAAGTAGCTGGAAGAAGTCACCCTGAGAGTCACAAGCCAGACCCCACAGAGGAGTCTGAAGCCCTGAAAACAGGAAGAGGGCGGGGTCAAGCAGGGGACAGAATGACATGGGCCCCGGACGGCAGCGCTGGCTGCCGCGTCTGGCTGGGTAGGGGCTGAGGGGAGAACACACGCAGAGGACTCGGGGAGCCTCCAGCAGTGGTGAATGTAAACTTCTAGGAGGTCAAGGCCGCCAGGCACTTGGAGGTGGGGCCTGCTTGAGGCCTGGGAACCCTGGGTGACGATGGCACCAGGAGAGGCTGGTGGCTGTGTGCCATAGCCAAAGCCGTCAGAGGAGGTGCTGACGGAGGAGAGGATGCTCGTTCAGGGCACCTTCTCCGCTGGTGCCATCTTGAGAACATCTGTGGTTCAAGCTGCTTCCTGGTTGGTCTGCTGCTGGGCGGAGGCCCCCAGCCCCTGCTGGGGCTACCGCTGGGCCTTGGAGCCCCCCTCTTGGGAGGGAGGTTGCCCCAGTACCTGGACAGCAGTTGTCTCTGAGGCCTGGGAGGTGGCCCTGGGGCTTGCAGTGCTCCTCCGGGCGCCCTGAGGACTAGGGGGGCCTTTCTTCTGGGGCTGTGGACTCAGCTGGGCACCTTTCCTACCAGCTGATGGACTCTTGGAGCCTTTGGGCTTGGCTTGGGGATGGGCAGCCTCGGGGCCTTTGAGGGCCGTGAGCCCCAGCATCTCGCAGTAGGTGTTGCACTGGTGGGAGCAGGCGAAGTGGTCCAGCAGGGCCGGGAAGCAGCTCTCCTTGAGGCCTTGGTATCTGCAGCCAGACAGAAAGTGCTGAGTGGGTCCCGCCCAGGGTAGTGGAGCCCTGAGGGCCGGCCTTGGCATGGCTACCATCAGGGTGCTGTGCCCAAGGCACCTGCTTCCCTCTCCCCAGGGTGCTAACTCAGGAGGCAGCATCCCAGTTTTAAAGCTGGTCTCATTAAGACCCTGACACACAGGATTCACCAGTCTTTGGCGTGTACATGGGGGCCTCTGACAAGCACACACACTCAGCTCTTGCCCGTCTGAGTCCCCATGGAAGCGAAGAGTCTGCTGCAGGCCCAGAACATTAGAGGAGCCTCTGCTGGGGCATTAATCATAGCTGCCAGCCCACATCAGGAGTCAGGGGCACGGGGGTGGGAATTTCTGGCCCCCAAGAGTGTTCCAATATGGCTGCAGCTATGAGTGGGACCACCTGGCCTCAGGGACTGAGAACCAGAAGGAGACCCCCGAAAAGACCCTCTGGGGCCCCTACGAAACACTCACCCTCGCAGCTTGGTAGCAATCTGCACATCGGTCATCTTCCAGTCAACTCCTGAAAGCAGAGAAAGTGGGGGGCTGAGGCCAGCCTGGTGGGGTTCTAGGCCCCTGTGTCTCCAGCACAGAACCGCCATAGGTGGGAACCTGCCAGGGTTCAGGGCTGACATCTTAGGCACTGTCACAAAGGCCACCATCAGCAGCCTGTCCCCCAGGCAGGGGCAGATCTGCATCATTCTTAAGACTGCCCTTTTCACAGGTGGCGAGACAGACCAGGAGTTCAGTGGCTCAGGCAGCTCACTCCCATTCATGCTGTTACAGAGCACTAGGTGCGATAGTCACTGTGAGCCAAAGTCAGTGCTCGATGTTTCTGGCTCCTAGAGCCCCAGCTTTTAGCTCCATGAGCCTCTACTGGGTCAGATCAGTTGCACGCTACACCAGCCTCTGTGAACTTAGCCCTTCGCTGTCCTTTTACAGAGTAGTTGTCTGTTCCAGAGAGAAAGTGTGACTTAGGGGTGGACCAGCAGAAACGCAGCCTGGGGCAAGACTGGCTTCCACCTGACTCATAGCAGCAAAGGGGGCGCCCTGAGGTGCCAGGATAGTCTTTTAGTTTAGATAGCCATGGATAAACAGAGCCTGGCAAAGGTGATAGAGAAGAAAGGCCACACCCTAGTCAGCCCGAGCATCCCAGCATGCAAGTGTTAGGTTTGTGATCTTCTTTCCCCATTTGCAAGTTGCCCAGTATTTTTCTAGGCAGTTGGCTCTCACTAATGGGTGAGTACCATCATGTGACAGTGTAGAAGTGGGGTGTGTTTTCGACTCTGCCAGACCTCGATTCACACTTCAGCTCCAACACTCCGGAGCTGTGTGAATTTAGCAAGCCACTTACTATTTCTCATCCTCAGCTGTAAGTGAAAGGGTAATCGTGCCTATCCGGTAGGGGTGTTGGGAATGTTACCTCACATGTAGGATCCTAACTTAGTGCCTGAAACACAGTAGTTATACAAAAATATTAATTTCTTTGTTGTTTCTCTTGACATTTATTGTATCCCATTTCACTTCATAATAATGATCTCTTATACCTGCAAAGAACTGTAGCTTGCAGAAAGCTTTCTAAATATGGTCTCATGTAATCCTGATAACAGGTTTGCAAGATGGGAGAGAAAACGTCATTCCTAGTGAGGGACAGGGAACGGAAGCCCAGAGACATGCAATGTCCTAAGTGGCCTGAGCTTTGGTTTTCTTTTTTGTGACCGACTCACAAAGCTTTCATTTAAACCGAACTCCTCTGACTCCACAGTCTTTCTACAACCCCATATTAACACGGCAAAGTAGAATCTGTTGATTTCCCACAGCTTCTTGAGGACATCCGCTATTCCTAAGCCACCATTCGGTGAATGGAAGGGGAAGGGAAGCACGAACAGTAGGCGCTCACCCGGTGCATGATGCTGGCCGGAGGTTCCCTAGCTCCTGCTCTTCCAATACACGGAGCTCTAGACCCAGTAATTATTATACATGTTAACCCCAAGGAAGAGCATGTTGGAGTCACTTTTATGTCTCTGGCCCTGGGTTTTCTCATCTATTTACCTTAGGGACAAGACTTAATAATTGTGCTAGCCCCAGCTCCATTTCCTCCCTCTGTAGAGCATTTATCTTTCCCTCTCCCTGCCTGGTTCCAGGCAGTAGGCCTGGAGAGGCCTGGCCAAAGAAAGAAGGACTCACACTGCTGGCTTTCTTTGTTGGAGAGTTTCTAAGTAGTGGGGGACATAGAAATAAAGCTGAAAAGAAGCCTAACAGACTAAATTGGCTGATATTTGAAAAGCCAACAGGGCTGAGGATGTAGTGCAGTGGTAGAACACTTGCCTAGTTCCATATTCAAAACCAAAGGAGAGGCCTAACAAAGAGGTGGAGGGGAAGCAGTCTAGAGCAAAGCTGCAGGGAAAGGGGATTTGCAAAAAGATGACTGTGAGCTTTGAAATGTAATACATGGATCCTACATAATACCCTTCGAAAAAAATTTCTTTTTAATTTTAAGTAGGGTTGGACTAACCCTTTAAATGCAGCCGCAGTTGCAGACAGGTCCCTGAGGGGCATGGCTGGGGTTGTGTGCAGACTGGCGCCCAGGCCACCTGCACTACCAGATTATTGTGCAAAGGAGGGTGAGCGTGAAAGTGCCTTCACAGTGTCTCTGTCTCCCCGTGCACTTCTACATCCGTGCCCCATGCAGCCTCGCACCCCAGTACCTGCCAAATCTGTGACGAGGAAGCTGCCATTTGTCCACTGGTACAGCCAGTGCTGGAAGGCCTGGCATTTCTGCACAACCTCAGAACTGCTGGGTGCCGCTGGCGCTCCGGTGCAGCCCACTTCCCGGGAGCAGTAGGACTGCAGGGACTTCCCCAGGTCCTCCTCCAGGGTGGCGTATGGGATGGTGTTGGCAGGCCGGTAGATCAGATAGAGAGGGATGATCCTAAACAGATGCACCCCACAGTCAGCAGTCAGCATGGCCCCAAGAGCTCCTCCCGCCAGCCCCGTCCTGTCTGCCTACATCTAAATCAGGGGCCCTTTCCCAGAATGGCATTCTTGGCCATGCACCTGAAGTACTGCAAGGCAGGAAGCACCTCCTAAACTCAGGGTAGGAGACAAGGCCACTGACTGTAGAGCTCTGCCCATTTCCCGTGGCCAGTGGGATTAGCACCAACACTGCTATGGCCCCCACGAGGGTGAGGGTTGGAGCCAGTGTGTATCAAATAGAAAGGATGGTCTAGAAGGGGTTCCACCGGAACACGGCTCTATGCCAGTCTCACCCCAAATGCTCAAGTCAGCATTCAAACCTCAACATGGAAACAACTGCCATTTACAGAGGACGCCTACAAAACCCTGCAGAGGAGTCCTGACCCGTCCTGACCCAGTGACTGAGCCCCCCTTACATCCCCAGGGCCCTGGAAGCTGCCGTGCCCAAACACCAGTCAGCAAGCTCGGGGTGAAGGATATGGAATTGGGGTGGCAGGGCTCACAGCCAGAGCAGAGACTTTTCTAAAGTGGGGCATGCACCTTGGGGTCTAGATTTCTAGATTCTGTGGGGCCACTGAGCTGAGCAGGGTGTGGCCCTCCAGGAGGCTGCCGTCACTGTCTCCGTGAACCCTTCCCATGCACTTACTCAGGCACCTCCCCGAAGCGGGGGGCTGCCCGGGCTTCCGCTGCAAAGATTTTGCAGTACTCCCGGCTCATGTTCTGGATCTTGCAACCCTGTGGTTTCAGGAAGCCAAATGAAATCAGCCAGGAGGCTCCCAGTTCTCTAGCTGCCTGGCTCTAAGTGGGCGGCTGTCTGCTGGGGGGCTTCCAGGGGTGCCAGCCCTGAAGGAGGTGGACTCACTCCTTCTGGCTCCCTTCCCTGGGCCTCATCCTGCAGCCCACTGAGCAGCAGTGCCCCAGTGGCTCCCCCTGAGGAGATGAGGGTAGACCATCCTCCAGCCTGCGTCCCTCCCTTCTACTTCCCATGCAAGTAAGGCTTCTAGGAGAGACAGAGCTTGAAGTAGGGGGAAAAGCTTCTGCTGCAAAAAATATAGTTTAAAGCCAGCATGGTATAGCCTGTAATCCCAGCACTCTGGGAGGCTGAGGCAGGAGAATTGCAAATTTGAGTCCAGTCTGGCAACTCAGCAACTTAAACTGCACGTGTGGCCTGATTTGAAGACAAGGCTCCAGCCCATAGATGACCTTGGCCTGGGAAGCTTTCTGCAGGCCACGCGCCTGTCCACCCCCTTGGAGCTCCTTGAGGTTGAAGAATTAGCTTAGTACAAAGGCCCCTAGACCTAGTCTCAAAATTTCTAAATTTCTCTAGGCCAAATGTCTGGAGATTCTGGGCTACATCTCAGCCTCTCCACAGCCTCCTAAGCTAAAGAGAAGCTGGAGATGGCTCCTGCCTCAACTTTGGGCTTCCCAGCAAGAGCCAGACTGGCCAAGGGGAGAGGGGGAGAGGGCAGCAGTGGGGCCAGGGACGGGGCACAGTACCTGGATGGTGACGTCGTAGTTTCTGCCCAGGAGGGAAGTCTCGCCGCTGGGCCCGAACACAAGTGGGCTGCACACCTTGATGATGCACGTGCGGCCCGACTCGAAGATGGGCTCCAGCCCGTAGATGACCTTGGCCTGGGAGGCCTTCCGCAGGCCACCCCCGTGTCCACCCCCTCGGAGCTCCTCGCTCACCAGTCGCCCAAAGAGCTTGTCCCCCCAGCAGCCAGAGTCAGCCAGACCCTTGGCAAACACCATGGGGGTCATCTCAATCTCTTCTCCAACTGGAGGGGACAGGAGAAATGCGGGAACTAGGAGCTTCTGCCTGGCCAGCAGGGAGCGGGGTCCACAGAGCAGCAAAAGGCTGGGCAATGCCCCTTCCTGCCCCTAGGCACCCCTGGGCCACAGGACTCCTAGGCCACACACCTGTGTCCCCTACCAAACAGTAAGCTCAGCACAAGTTAGACAAACTGTCATCTAACAGGGCCCGTGTGGTACCCATCCCATAGGAGGGGCTCAGCAAGGGTGGGTGGAAGGCAGGCTTTCTGGGACAGTGCAGGGTAACGGGACTACTCTGTTCTAGAACTAGGGCTGTTGATGAACCTAATGAACGACTCCCTCTCAACCTGCATGGTTGATGAGGCAGAAAGTCTGCAGGCCAGAAGCACTGAGAATTCCTGCTGCTTAAACTGGGAAAACTGGGATTGCTAAATACAGTTCCACCACTAAAAAGAATTAGAGCAAGGCAAGGACATGGCTGAAGCTGGGCATGGAAGTGCATTCCTGTAATCCCAGCACTCTGCGGGGCTGAGGCAGGAGGATCACAAGTTCACGTACAGTCTAGGAAACTTAGTGATGTAGTGAGATTTTGTCCCAAAATTTAAAAGAAAGAAGGAGTTGAGATGCATTATGTACCTGTACCAGCTCCCCACAAGGAATATAATCAGTATGTACTGCAAATGTGCACTGATAAAAATAAATTCAAAAAGGAAAGGAAAGGAAAGAAAGGAAAGGAAAGGAAAAGAAAAGGGAGGATCCAGGCTCCACACAAGTGTAGAGGATGGACCTGAAATATTTTGTGAGACCAGAAAATAAGGAAGCAATCAAAAACTCCTTTACAGCTGGAGTGGTTTTGACTGGAGATTTGTCAAAGGACGCAGGAGCCAGCTGGGTGAGGCTCCTTTGGCCAAGAGTGAAACTCAATCTTAGCAACAAAGAATAATCATCGCAATGTACTGCACATATCAGATATGTGGAAAGTCCAACCTGTTCATAATGGTAACTGAAGACCAAACAAACAAACAAAAAACATTTTCCTCAAAAAGAAATAAACCTTATTGGTCACCTTTGCTGGTTACTAGAACATGAGCTCATTGTTCTGAAATCTGGTAAGAACAGGAAAGTGAGCAAGTATTTATCCTTCATTTCCTGTTGGACCCATATGTGTCAGGGTAGCCAAATAATTATTTCTTCTTTACAGGTAAATTTCAGCTAATGAATGAAGGTGAAGTGATAGAATTAAAATACTTCTGTGTTGAGGGCTGAGGATATAGCTCAGTGGCACAGCGCCTGCCTGGTAAGAACAAGGTCCCAAGTTCAATTTCTGATACAAAAAAAAAAAAAAAATACTTCTGTGTTGTAACTCCCTAATGAAGTAATAGATTTCAGTGATAACCGATGACTGCCAAACCTCCTAGATAACAAAGGGAGCCACATCACATAGTAAAAAAGGACAGATCATGCAGATAACACCTAACTGAACCCGATGATCATGATTACAGAAGTGAAACAACCCAAGCCAGGCATGGTGGCACGCACTGTAATCCCAGCGCTCAGGAGGATGAGGCAGGATGATCATTATGAGTTTGAGGCCCACCTGGACTACACAGTGAGACCTTGTCTCAAAAAACAAAACAAAACAAAAGATAAAGTGAAACAATTTGACACTATTTGCCTTTGGGCAGGATACAAAAGGAATACATAGCACACCTGTGAGTTATTCCTACCAAAAAATCACGTCTGAGTCTGACCAAACCTCTCAACCTAATTACCAGTGTAATTAGGAAGAACACGTGGGAAGAAGATGGTCCAGGGTAAATGATTACCAAAATTCAGAGTGTAAGAAATTCTGCACATTAAAGACATCAACAAATAAATGACAAGAAGAGAAAACAGACAGGGGAGAGGAGCTATTAGCTATTGAGAGACTTAAAGAGATGTATCAGCCAAAGTAACTAATAGTTCCTGCTCAAATAAAGCAATGGAGACAAATGGGAAATCTGCCTGGATGTTTGAAAAGAATTACTACTAAGAATTACTACTAAGGTTTTAGTGTGAAGTTCTATTTGATAGAGAACATAGTTTAATTGGTAACTGAACAAAAGGCAGTGGGTGGGTGAGTGAGTGGGTGGAGTAAACGCAGCCTTTGTGGGGTCCTGCCGCAGGGCAGACCCTTCCCCTGACACCTGAGCTCTGCAATGCTTGTCAAACTTGGGGTCATGTCACCATCACCAGGCGCAGGGCATGGGGCTCAGGGGCCACAGCAGCAGGCTCCAGGGTGAGTCAAACTCTAGGGTCTGTGGGCTCTGGGACCCCCAGGACTCACTGGGCGGAGTTCTCTGCCACCCCTCCTCCCAAGCCCTCTGGGAGGCAGAGGCTAGCAGTGTGTGGCTTGGGGACAGATTCCAGCTCTTAACAAAGGCCCTCCCCATGACAGGAGGACCACAGAGGGGCAGCATACCTTCACCTTCTTCCCGGGAGACGAACCCAGACAACACTGCGTGAAGAAAAATACAAGGACGCTGCTGGCTTCAGGCTGCCTGCCAGGCCCAGGGCCCATCACAGACAGCGTCAGTCGCTGGTGGAGACACCGCCCAGCCACTCACCCTCAGGGCTGAGGCAGAAGTCAGTGGAGGCCGAACCATGCTCATTGTGGATGGTACACCGGTACACGCCGCAGTCCACGGGGGCCGCCTGCACGATGGCCAGGGCCGCCGGCCCCTCATCCCCTGCACTGCAGAGTGGAGACCCTTCTCATGAGAGCCACCACTAGCCCCAGGGCCTTTGACCCTGCTCTTCAAGACTGGTGGGAACCTAGGTTCTGGGAGCTGTGTGACTTCAGGGGAGTGACCTAACGCCTCCGAGCCCCACTTTTCTCATCTACACTATGGGAATAATGGCACCTCTTCTAGGGCTATGGTTGAGTGAGGTGATGGATTCGAGGCGGAAGGACTGTCCATGGGACATTGCCAGGGCATCCTGCAGTGGTGGTGGGGATGCTGTGACTTACCTCCTGCCCACCTCGCCCACCGGGCGCTGGTCCTTGGCCCAAGTCAGGACTGAGTCACTGAGGATGTTGAAGAACTGGCACCAGAGCTTCAGGCTACCGGAGGCATCGGGGAACTGCTCCACGCGGATCTTCCGGATCACCTGAGGGGCTGTGAGAGGGTGGGTGAGAGGTCGCAGCCACGTCTACCACCTCCTGAGCCCTTGGTGGAACAGGCCTTGGGTGTCAGTGTTCAAGTCTCCACACAGACCCATCACTCCATAGCCCGGCTGCCTTCCCGGGCTCAGGCTACGGGTTGGACCCCCAAAGTTTATATCTTAGCTAGAGAGGCCTTCGCCGCAGCCAGGCCAGGACGGGAGGCCTCACAGCAGAGACAGAGCTCCACGCTCCAGAAGCCTGCATTGGAACCCTGAGCCCCCCACACTGTAATGGGACAGTCTGTGGGAGGGACTGTGGGTGACACGGTGATGGAGCTGGGCTACAGAAGCCTGGCCCATGGTGGTACTTGGTTCCTCTCTCCTCAGTGCTGGTGATGTAACCCAGGACCTTTGCACAGAGCTCTACCCCAAGCCCTTTATTTTTAAGCAGGGTCTTGCTAAGTTGCCCAGGCTGAGCTTGAACTCATGGCCCTCCTGCCTCAGCCTCCCTAAGGCGTGTGCAACCACACTTAGCCAAGCCCCTCAAAGGGCCCTGTTATCCCCGTGCTCGTGCTGGGAGCAGTGCTCTTCCCCCTCACCAGGGGGCTCACCTTTGAGCAGGTCTTTGGCTTTCCGAGGCTTTGCTGAGGTATCCTGCGTGTCTTCATCCAGGGCAGACTCTGCGTCCGGACCTCCGGCCTTGGGGCTGGAGCCCAGCTGTCCTGCCACCGGCTCCTCCTCTGCCCGGGGCACCTCCAGTGTGGCCTTTCTGCCCTGGGTAGGGGAGCGCTTCTCCCTCCCTGGAGTCCCAGGGGACCCTGATGCCAGGTTCTTCCTGGAGCCCCTAGGAGAAACAGAGGGGCTTTCCCTTTCCTCAGACTTGGCCACCTCCCCATCTCCCGCTGCTCTGACCTTAGGAACAAATCTCTTCCTCCGGGCCCCCAGAGCCAGTTCCTCAGGGGTAGCTGCGGGGAGCCCCGGCAGAGCCTCCCCTGGGACTGCCTCCTCCTGGCCGGGCTTGTGAGCCCTCCTCTCTGCTGCCTGCCCGCCCTGGAGGTCAGGCCCCCCGAGGGAGCCCTCTGAGGCCACCTCGGGGCCCTCCTCTCCCACCACAATGGCAGGAACCGCAAGAGGGCTGGGCCCGGGGCCCCGGGCAGCCTGGGCAACGGCCAGAGCCTGGCGACCAGCCTGCACCTCTTGGTCTAGAAGGCCAGTGAGCCGCCTCGAGGTGCAGGGGCTCAGCAGCAGGGTCTGTGCGCTCTGCACCAGGTGGTCATTCTCCACACGCTCCAGGATGCGCCGAGATGTCCGGGGACTCAGCCCTGCCACTTCCACAGTGGGCGCCAGAGGTGGGGACAGTGCTGTGCCCGCTGCAGCAGCCGCTGCTGGGGACTCGGTCACTGCCCCGCTGGCTTCTGTGCTGGAGAGCTTCAGCAGGAGAAGCAGGTAGTTTTTCAGGGAGTCAATGAGGCCGGGGTCGCAGCTCCGGGCCCCCGGGAGCCTCCCCTCTGCATCAGGCCCCTTGGCACAGGCCCCCTCGCTGCTGGTGGCCACAGTCTCTGGCAGGGGACTCTGTATGCGGTGCTCTGGCCCCAGGTGCAAGGTGGGGACAGAACTGAGCCCGTCCTGCTTCCCGGCTGTGGCTGTGGGCTGAGGGGCCGGGGTGCTTGGCAGCCCCTCCTCTGGGCTATTGGTCAGGCCGGGCCCAGGAAAGCAGGGCTTGATGGGTACCTCCAGGCTCGGGCCAGCTGGGGGGCAGCCACCCAGGGCAACACATGGCACGGTTCCCGGCGGCTCCTCCTGCTCAGCCTTGGCTGGGCCTGACTCCTCCGGCTCTGGAAGCCCCTCTCCTGCCCCATGCCCTGGGCTCCCCTCTGGGCGCAGCTGTGCTGGGCATATGAAGCTTACTGGCGGGGGACCCAGGACAGTGTCCTCATGACCCCTGGAGGTGCTTACTGATGTCTCCTCAGATCTGAGCACAAAACTGGGTTTCTCTGGGGCAGCAGATGCTTCTGGGGTCTGCGCTGAACATTCAGCAATCTCAGGAGACCCGGGACCCTCTGACGGCCGGGGCCCCACGGCTCTGGGCGGTGGGCTGAGGTGGGCTGCAGACTGCTGCTCTGGGTGACCTTCTGTAGCTGGCTCCGTCCCCTCTCCTTCCCGCGTCCTCTTGTCTTCCTGCGTCCGCTCATCCTCCGGTACCCTTTCTACCTGGCTTTCCACTCCTCCCTGCATCACCACATCCTTCTGTGAACTCCCGTCTGGCTGCGAGCTCTCACTTTCCTGTGTCACAACGTCCACCTGTGTCCTCTGGGCCACGTGTGCCCCCTCGCCCTCGGTCCTCCCTGCCGCCTGCACCTGTGCGCTCTTCCCGCCTCTGGTTCTCCGGTCGTCGGTGCTTCTCCTCCTGTCCTCCTGGGTTTCAGTATCCATGGGCTCAACAACACCTTGACTTCCGCAGCTGCTGCTGGCAGATATGGTGGGAGCCTTGGTTGCCTGGGGCTCCTGGGAACACAGGGACAGAGGGAAGACTCAACTACACGTGCATTAGGCTCCCTCTGGTATGGCAACCCCACTTCCTTGAACTTCACCCCAAACGCTCTGCAGGAAACCTGACCCCTGCTCCTCAGGCCTGCAGGACATTAAGAAGCACAGACATAAGACCAAGGGACTCCATGGCCATCCACCCCGGTCTTTGATCCCAGGAGTCCGACTAGGGAATATCCAGCCTCTGGAGGCAGCTCTGGCCCTTCCAACCTCTCCCTGAGTGAATCCTGCCCTCTGGAAAGACTCTCATTCTCACTGCCCCTCCCCACAGCTCTCAGAGCAATGGATCTGTCCCTCTCTGGTGCATCAGATGCTCTGGATGGGATTAGGAGTGAGGTGAGACTGCAGTGTGTGTCCTGACAGCAGCATCTACCAGTCACACCAAGCACATGGCATTAACACGATGCCACCCAAACAGAGGGCCAGTGTGGCTGTGAATGGCACCTATGCCAAGAAATCAATGAAATGTGATTTTTGTTCTGGTACTGAGGATTGAACCCAGGACCTTTACACTACAGTCTCTGCCAGGTGTGGTTGTCAGCACTGAGGCAGGAGGATCACCTCAAATTTGAGGCCAGCCTAGGCCACACAGTGAGTTCAAGGCCAGGCTGAACTACATAGTGAGACCCTGTCTTAAAGAAAGAAAGGAAGGAAGAAAGAAAGAAAGAAAGAAAGAAAGAAAGAAAGAAAGAAAGAAAGAAAGAAAGAAAGAAAGCTGCAGCCTCAAAAAACAAAAACATAAAGGCTACCAAAAGCAGATAAATGTAGGCCCTGGGAAGTTAAAGAGGAACAAAGCTGCTGGGGGAGGATGGATGATCACTGCAGGAGGTGAATAGGTTGCAAGACACGGTCACTGTAGATGAAGGAATCACCCGGAGGTGCTGAGTCTATCAGCTCCACACACCCACGGGGTCACAGAGAGAAAGGGTCCTGCAGGAGGCATTGGGAAGGCACCCACAGAGACGGGGAGGGGGCAGAACCTCCCAGCGGCAGCAGATCTCAGAAAACACCAGCAAAGACGTGCACACTCCTGAAGAACCCTCTGAAAACCGCTAAGCTAAGGAAACTGGCTTGGTCTCAAGGACCTAAGGAGTATCGTTCCCATGGGCTCTGCCTGAGGAAACTACTAGAGGACGAGGGGTCACAGCAAAAAAATTGGTGGCAGCACGAAACATGTTCATCTTATATTAACACGCAGCCACAGATATTCGCGTTGAGGGCGGCTGATCAGAACGTCAAGGTTATAGGAGCCTCTGACGAAGAGGAGACCATACAAGGAACGTGGGGTTGGTGGCAAGTGGACGCTGGACGGTGTCACTCACGAGAGGCCGGGACCACAGACAGTGCCCAAAGCAGGAAACCCAAGCACAGGTATTTAATGAGACAGGGACAAGCTCTGAAAAATAAGACTTTTGGCTAGAAGAGGAGGAAGCAAAAATGATTTGTCATTGCTTGTTTGTTTTTTGTTTTGTTTTGTTTTGTTTTGTTTCATTTTTTTCTGGTACCGGGAATTGAACTCACGACCTTGTGCTTGCCAGGCAGGTGCTATGCCTCTGAGCTAAATCCCCAGCCCCTGTCATTGCTTGTTGTAAGAATACGAATAGATATTAACCAAACAGATAAACAATTCACATTATAAAAATTCATACCCCAAATTAAGTATAGAATTTAATTTTAAAAATAATTATGGAATTTTGAATTAATGTTATGAATATGGAAAAAATTAGGGTTTGGTGAATATTAGGAACAAGTCCAATTGAAGAATTTTTTTTTTCCAGCTGAAGAATTTTAATGAAAACGCTCTTCAATCAGGAAAATATTAAGAGGTAGAAATGCCTTGGAATGAACGGCTAAAGAAAATGTAACATTTATACACAGTGGAGTACAACACTGCCATAAAGGACAACCTTGAGGCATTGGTAGGTAAATGGTTGCACTTCAGGACCATAATGTTAAATGCAATATATCAGACACACAAGTTTAAAAACTGCACGGTTTCTCTTGTATGAGAAACTCAAAATATAAATACAGAGCACAATAAAGGACAGATAATAGGAAGCGGGGAGATCTTTCTCAACTGGGAAGGGGAGCAAGAGGTAGGGGAGTGAGGGAAGGAAGGGAAAAAGGATTTTTAAAAAGAGAATTGGAAAAAGAAAATGAAAATAGTGCTTTTCCAAATGGGAAGGGGATCAAGAGTTGGAGGTAGGAACAAAAGAGAATTAAAGCTGGGGGCATGGTGGCACATGCCTGTAATCCCAGCACTCAGGAGACTGAGGCAAGAGGGTCACCATGAGCTCAGGCCAGCCTGGGCTACATAGTGAATCCAAGACCAGCCTGAACTATGTAGTGAGACCCAGTCTCAAAAAAAAAAAGAATTAAGAGGTGTGATGTATGTGTACCAACTCCCCATGATAAATTTAATCATTATGTACTGCAAATATGTACTGGAAGAAACACATAATTAATTAAAAGTGAAAAAAAGGAAATTAAATAAATACCTTGAAGGAAACAAATAGTAATTTGCAATGTATTAAATTTTCCTTTTTTTCCGTAGTGCTGGGAATTGAACCCCAGGCCTCGGCATGCTAGCCAAATGCTCTACTGCTGAGCTGCATCCCCAGCCCTTTTCATTTTATTTTGAGACAGGTTCTCACTAAGTTCCCCACCTTGGCCTCAAACTGGCCATGCTCCTGCCTCTGCTCCCAAGTACCCAGGACTCAAGGTGTGGGTCACCTTTGAACTTCTGCCATTCTCAGATAGATATTATCATAGACATAGGAGCTGTTAATACAGACAGTATTAATATAGACATAAGATCGATGCATTTACAAAGAAAGCGCTATCTTTGCACACACAGCAGCTGCTGCTGCTGCTGACTGAGGCTCCCTCACTCCCCCACTGCCAGCCCAGTCTGCCCACTCCCTTGAAGCCACTTCTCATTATCTCCACATCCAGTCTCATCTCTGTCCTCTGCCAGTCACCTCACCCAGGCTGCCCGCATTGCCATCTTTCCTGGACAGCCTCAAAGCCTCCTAATTGGTATCCATGATTCTAGTCTTTACCTCTGCTAAACTCGTATCCTCACTGCCGCCTGAGGGATCTTTCCAAAGTGAGGAATCTGAAACCTCTCCGAGGATTGCCATCACTTACAGGCCTAAAGCCTTTAGCCTCAAAGAGCAAAAAGTTAATAATATTCTCTGTTGGCAAGGGCGTGGGAAACCAGGCATCCGCACAGCCTCCATGGCATTGTGACATGATCTATATAAACTGAAAATACAGTCTAGATTTTGGTTGTGTGCACCTATAATCCCAGCACTTAGGAGGCTGAGGCAGGAGGATTATGAGTTCGAGGCCAACTGGGCTACGCAGAGAAGCCCTGTGTCAATAACAACAGCTACCAAAAAAAAAAAAAAAAAAAAAAAAATGGAAAGTACAGGGGTGGAGATATAGCTCTATGGTATGGTGCTTGCCCAGCATACACAATGCTCTGAGCACTCATCCTGCATATCACAAAAAATAAAATAAAAAGTACAAACTAAAACTAAAATACTCTTTTTTTTTTTTTTGAGACAGGGTCTCATTGTGTAGTTGAGGGTGGCCTTGAACTCACTATGTAGCCCAAGCTGGCCTCAAACTCACGGTGATCCATCTTCCTCAGCCTCCTGAGCACTGGGATTACAGGTGTGCACCACCACACCTGGCCAAACTAAAAATACTTGTGCTTTTTGATGGAACAACTTCACTCCTAGCAATTTATCTTACAGGCAAACTCTGATGTATAAATGGATTTATATACAAGGATATTCATTGAAACACAGTTTATAATTGCAAGACTAGAAATTACCTAAATCCCATCAAGATAGGACTGATCCAATGGATTATGATATACCCATATTAAAAAAAAAATCCAAGTAAAAAAAGCAAGGTACAGGATAGAAACCTTACCATGAAAGTTTTGTGTGGAAAATATACTGGTGCACACTCATATGTATAAATGCAAAGAAAATAGCTCTGGAAGGATGCCCAAGAGACCATCTTTGGCAAATGATTGAGGATATGAAACTGGATGGCAGGGGTAGTGGAAGGGGAGCTTTACTGCTCATTATGTACCTCTTACATACTTATTACTATAGTTTGTGGATTCTTTTTCTTTCAGAGTCTTGCTAAAGCTATATCAGTATTACCAATATTTTCAAATAACCAGGTTAAGCTTATTTTCTCCATTATTTTTGTTTTCAATTTCATTGTTTTCTGGTCTTTTATTCCTTTCCTTCTGATTGTTTTAGGTTTATTTTGCTTTTTTCTAATTTCCTCACATAGAAGCTTAAATGATTAATTTTAGACCTTCTTTTCTAATAGATAATTTTAATGGTGTAAGATTTTCTCAAAGCACTGATTAGAACATCCTAAATTTTTATATTTCCATTTTCATTCAATTCAAAATATTTCCCACATGTCTGTAAGACTTATTTGACCCACAAAACTATCTTCTCTAATTTAAAAGTGTTTGGAGATTTTCTTATTATCTTCCTGCCATTGACATCTAGTATAACTTCATTTCTGTCAAAGAATATGTATTCTGTTACCTGAATCATTCTAGATTTTTAAAGGTTTTTTTAACTGATCTAACAGATAGTCTATTTTGGTTTATGTTTTACATGCACTTGAAAAGAATTAGTGTTTTGTTCTTACATTGAGTGTTCTGTGTCTATTAGATCCAGTTGGTTAATAGTGCTGTTGATTATTTTATATTATTACTGATTATCTATTAGTTCTCTATAATTGTTGGTCTTTCTATTTTTCTCCTTTCAGTTCTCAGTTTTTGCATCGTATATTTTGAGGCTATATTGTTAGTTATATACACATTTTTATTATGCTTTATTATGTTTTATTTTTAAAACTCTCCGAGTTTTAGTTATCTGTGGCTTCTCCACTACCACTGTCACTACCAGGAGATC